ATTACGTATACACAATCTAAAAATAGAACCGGACAAATGTAGTTTTTTACAACGGGAATGTTTATTTTTAGGTCATATAATTAGTGACGAAGGAATAAAACCGGACCAAGCGAAAGTTAAATCTGTAAAGGATTTTCCGGTTCCTAAAAATGTTAAACAAATAAAAAGTTTTTTTAGGACTTAGTGGGTATTATAGAAAATTCATAGAAAATTATAGTGCTATTGCTAATCCAATAGTGAAATTATTAAGAAAAGACGTAAAATTTAATTGGGACGAAGACTGTCAAAAAGCTTTCGATAAATTAAAAGAAATATTGTGTTCAGAACCAATTCTACAATATCCAGATTTTACAAAACAATTTATACTTACGACAGACGCTAGCGGTAGGGCGCTAGGTGCAATATTATCTCAAGGCAAAATAGGATCGGATTTACCAATAGCTTACAGTTCTAGAACTTTAAACAGGGCGGAATGTAATTATTCGGCAACGGAACTGGAATGTTTGGCGATTATATTCGGCGTAAAAACATTTCGACCGTATTTATATGGTAGAAAATTTACAATTCTTACGGACCATAGGCCTTTGTCATGGCTATTTAATTTAAAAGACCCATTATCCCGATTGGCAAGGTGGAGACTACAATTGGAGGAATACGAATATGAAATAGTATACAAAATGGGCAAATTAAACACCAATGTCGACGCGTTATCGCGTATGTATAATATTACGGAAATTAAAGACGAAAGTTATGATAATTTTATGCAAAAATTCGAAACAACATTAATATCTAATAAGGACGTAAAGGAAGTACACGGCGAACTAATAAACAGTCCGTCGGAGAACCACATAGTATCAGAAGTCGAAAAATATTATAATTTTCGATCAGGTATTAATTACGAATTAAAACATGCGAACACTTGGATATATACAACAAAGGGAGAAACATTAACTATCGCGTGTAGGGAAAATGCGGAACCATACATTACGAAAATACGAAAACAAGGATTAATTTGGTTGAGTTCAAAATGTAGAGCATACGGGAACGATATTATATTAAATCCGACACAAGAAATAAAGTCTAAACACTATGTTAACTTTATACCCGAAGTAGGACAGGGAAAAATATCATTTAAGGTATCCGATAGAATAAAAAGTATGAACTTGCCTAAATTAATGATTAAACCAGATTCACATAAACTCGAAAAAATACACGAAATAGCACAATCGTTAGACCATGTTCAACAACAAATTGATAATGAAATATTAACACAATCAGGACAGCTAGAAGCGAGTGATACGCGTAATTATTTATTTTATTTAACATTGGGCTTGATAGTATTCTCAATAATGTTAATCATCTTTATATATATAACGTATAAATGCAGGCTCACTTCGTTGAGGCGACCACAATATGAAATGGTACGAGTAGGTAAAAGTAAACCCTGCGCGGATAATAACCAAATTGGAAAAAAATTAAATAAGGTAAACGAACGAAATCCACTTGAAGGGGAGGATGTACCACCCCAAATAAAATAAACTATATAGGATTATTTTATTATTTAGAATATACTATAAGTATAAATAATTAATTAGAAAATATAGAAAAAAAAAATATTTACATAAGTAGTTAGAAATAGTAATTAGAGATAGAACACGTATTAATATTATTAATAATAATAAATGTATTAACGACTTTGAATTAGAAGGGAAGTCAAGTTCGTTGTCATGGATTTTGAATTCACCAATATGAGGAAAACCGATATTGTGCTAATATCAGGAGCGATCTCGAACAGCTTAAACAAGTGTAAAATTCGTAAGCTCGAGGGGAAACCGCTTCTCTTGCCACTTCATGAACAGGTAAGAGTTATGACTGTTCGTGAAACACAGTTGGCAGAGAAATCAATAAGGCAGATTTTTCACAACAAGAAGGAAGTGGAGACGACCTGTTTAGCGCAACTTAATAAAAGTCTGAATTCTCAATTAAATAACTTAACACCAGAGTTCATAAGAAATTATATTTTGCATGGAAATAAGATAAATGTAGTGGTATTGTTTGGGGGGTCATACGATAGGAATATCCTAAGTAGATTAGGGTTAGAACATATACAAATATTAAATATTAGATGCTATGATTTAAATTTCGATGGGGACTTTTACATGATATTGGAAAAATTAAGGGGAAAGATAACTGAAAGAATTTTCGAGTTCAATGTAGGTAGAATCCAAAAGAATGGTAGGCTATTAAATTTAACGGAAGCACATAGCGGCATATGTACACATAGACACAAAATAACGTATGCTCACGATCCAAAAACCGATGTGAGATTTACAAAGTGCATATTCAACAAAATGGTTAGGGAATATGGGTATCAAAATTTGGTAAAGCAATTCCAACCATTATAGACAATACCACGTACATAGATCCACGTTGTGAAATATAATTTTAACGAATTTTAATTTTTATTATGGCAACTAACAAATAGCTTAATTAACACATTAAAGTAAATAAAAGAACAGGAAGTAACGATAGATACTAGTAAATAATTAAAATAGAGCTAAAATAGTAATCTAAAATAAATTAATTTCAGAATAGGAACGGGAAAAAAAAAAAAAAAAATACGATTAGAAATCGAGCGGTACATAATAGGGACATATTTAATCTATTATTGTTGGAAATAGATAAATGTTGCGCTATTATATACCGAACGGTTTGACAACTTAAGGAAAATGTTGGAGTTTGATCGTTTGGTGGTTGGTTCGAAAATCGTGTGTATAACGGATTTTTTAACGGAAACACCAACGGATCGAATGGCCAATAAATCTCAATAAGAAGTTACAAGGAAGAGGTCTTGTTAATTTAGCCTGTGTCGTGGGAGGATGCTTTGATTTTCAGCACACTCTAACGTCACGGGTTCGATTAGCAAGATAAAAACACATACGAAAATAGAATAGAATAAAATCAATTTAGTACTTGTCTCGATCATGTAATGGAACTTAAATACAATAGTTAATTGCTGGTCTGGACCTGTAGTAAAAAGATATAATCAAATCACAGTATAGGAATAGTAATATTAACTAGATATAAAATATAATAATATAACGATTAATGGAAAATATATATATAGGAACAAACGTAAGCGTAGAAAAAAAAAAAAAAGAATGAAAAAAAATGGAAAAAAAAAAGGAAAATTTAGGATTAAATTTTTTATAGAATAATATACAAATACATAAAGGAACATATTAGCTTATATCGGACATAATTAACATGGTGATGGGAAAAGAAATAATATTAATCTAATTTATTTAAAATATAATTAACATGGTAATGGAAAAAAAATATATAACACACCAGTACACCACTATTTTATCATATATATATATTGCACGGAAAAAAATATATTGTAATAGATTTTAAGAATTCATATTATATTAAAGGATAAATTTATACTATATTAACACTAAGATAAGATTATTGTTGTAAAACAAAAACGAAAAAAAATATATTGTTAATCACATAATATACTAACCTAGATAATAAGTAAAATATATACTGTAATATTGTGGATTATAATTTGTAATTGTCAATAACATTTAATAAATATAACCAGAAAAGTATGGTGGAATGTACCATATAATTCAATAATGTAACTAAATATCTGTAACAAACATATTATGTAAACATGTAATAATTGAATGTAATGAAATAATTTATATATGTAACTTGTAACCACATGAAAGTGCTTGGACTAATGGAGGGATGTTTGAGTTAATTTTTCTCATTTTAGACGATAAAAATCAACTTTTAAAGGGGGAGATGTAGTAAGCCAGTTACTACGGAGTAATACCAATTTCATAAGTACATAGTTATTATTATAATATACGATGAATCGGGATTAAGAATTAGGCGTAGTAACATTTGACAGTAACAATAAAACCAGATTCCACAGGTGCATAAATATTATAATAAACGGTAGACCGGCATAGTCGGGTATTAAGAAGGAAATGGGTCCTTCAAACCTATGGAGACAGGCTCACTGAATAACTCATGATGAGAGGGTTGAAATAGTCATTCGTCATTTTTGACAGAAATACTGGACGCATACGATGAATTTAAAATATTGGAGAGTAAAATGACTAATCACAAGTTAGTAATACATTCAATCAGATAAATATTCAATCGTCAATGCGTGGGCTAGAATGATGACTATACGAGTGACATCCGTGAGAACGGAGATATCGCATATGTAGGCAAGGGGTACGGGGAACCTCATATATAAGGGAGCCCGAATCGGCCTGTATTCAGACGTGTACTACCACCCATTAGTGCAAGCACCTTCACGCCACTCTGTAGAATATTATTTGGACTTAGAAAATTATCGAACATTATAATAAAAATTCACAATATATTATATCTGTCTTATCATTCATTATCTACCACGACTACAACATCAAATAAAGTGTCTGCGACCTGCAATTATAATAACTTGGTTGCCACTTATCTACTGTCAGTACTACGATAGTAGGTACCAAGCCACCAAGAATATTACAATACCTGTACAATAATATGATGATAAATTCGAATTGATAAAGTGATAACAAACAAAAACATTGACTACCACGCATATGGCTTTCGGGTTCTTAGTAATCATAGTGCGTCAGATATTATCAGTTAGCTATCTAGTTATTGTATATATCTGTGGTACAACCAAACATTTTCGTTATCTAGTTTGTGTACTACTAATTTTTTATAACGTGTAATTTTTATTTCACATGCTTTTGGAATCGTTTCCTTATCCTGACTACTGAATAATTTTGCTTCACAATTATCCGTTTCCTGAATATAGTGCGTCTGAGTGTTCCAACAAATATAATACTCTTGCATGTGTATACATTTGTTTAACTGCATGTCATCTATGTATATTGAGTATACGTTATCTTCGGATATGGCTAAGTATTTGTTTGTTGGCTGAATTAACGCATATACTGAATCTTTTTGTTTTATAGGTAGTGGAATTCCTTTATATACACGATATAATCTCTGTTTTGGACGATTGGAATGGATATTATGAATACTAATGTATCTGCTACTCTTATCACCTGTAAGCTACTCATTCTCATTAATTTATGTATATTTTGTATTGTGACTTGCTCTGCAAAGTTCTCTCTTGAATCTAGTTGTATTCTAACCTGTTGTAACTCTGCTAAGAAATTTGTTGCAGAAATTATGCTAGAATGCATATGACCCACTTGAGCAGTATTAATTATTGCTACCAGATTGTGAGTTTGAAATGAATGTTGTGTTAAAAGAACATTTAACTCCTCAGTTTGCTCATTCATTATCTGTCTAACTTCCATTTCATTTATTCTTTTATCAGCTCTGTTTGCTGTATTTTGCAACTTATTTATATTATTTATTATCGCTGTTTCGCTTCGTTGTATTTTCACCATTTCTTTGTCCACATCATGTACTGTTGACTGTACTATCCGCGTTTGTTGTTGCATATCATGAATTACCCTAATTTGTTATTAAATATATTTAAAGCATATTAAATTATAAAATATATTGGTATCACAATTATTGTGATTACAATTTACAATTGATTACAATTTTACAGTACAATTAATACAATTATAGTCATTACAATATTAAATGTATAGGTATAATTAGGTAGGTACTTCAGTACTACAAAAAGAATTTAAATAAATATTATAACAAAAAAAAAATAATAATTCATACATTCATTTGTATAGAACATGTCAGTTTTATCAACAACAAAATAAGGTAAGTGAATCTTTCATCAATAAATATTATAAACATAAAAAATATAATCATGCTTTTTAAAAAAAATGAAACATATAGGTATCTAGGTATTTAAAGTATATTGAGATCTAAGTGATCATCTATGAGCATGTCTTCTTCTTGTCCTAGGAAACTAGGCATTGAAATTTGTTTTAAGACATTCATTGGTAACGAGTAGTTCTCACAACAAACGTTTTGCCTCCTTAATCCACTTTTTATAGTTAAAATAGAATCCAGCAATTTAAATCCCATTCTATTTCTTAGTTTTGTTTTAACTAGATTCATCTGACTGAATAATCGTTCGACATCAGCGTTAGACCATGGCAAAACTAGTAACCGCATTGTCAACGTGCAAAGTACTTCAAATGGATTTGTTTCACTGGCATCTCTATATTCACATACTTCCTTCCAAAACAAAAACGTTTTATCTGTTTGAAGCCATTTAATATTGGTAAGATTGTTCCATTGTATATTAATTTTATCAATTATTCTAGGTTCAAACTGAAAAAGTTCAGCTAAAGGTGTTAACGGTTCTTTAATAACACTTAAAGCTGACTTTGGAGAAATTAATGATACTTTTTCAAGAATCTGTACATTTTTAGGCAACCTTTGTTGAAGTTGCTTGAGTAGGACTTTCAAGAACTGTACACATCGGTGCTTTAAAACTGTCTGATCGTCCGGAGACAGCTTACTAACTACTTGACTGAATTCATAACCAAAATAACATTTGGAGATACATAACTATCCATATTACAAATAAATGGATTTTGCCTGCCTGCAGTCAGGCACAACGAACCGTCTGGCTATTGAGTTAACAAGGTTAATTAAATCATTTAACAATTTTGATGGATCAGCTGTGTTTGATTCAAACGATTTGTTAACTTTTTGAACCTCTTCAAGTACTGGATGTAAGAATTTTAAATATGCAAGATTTCTATTATCTACAAACATATTATGTAGAATATCTGCAGCATAACATTTCTCTTTCAGTTTTGCAATCCCAAAAAGAGTTTTCAACTCTAACCACTGATTTAAAATTCTACTTACTGCTGTTTCAATAGATAGCCAGCGAGTGTCACAAGCTTTCACAATGTTTAATGGTTCATTACCTTCATTTATGGCTTTAAACAAATTTTTGTACTGTGCTTGCCTCAGACTTGAGTGGGAAAACCAATTATATGTTTCACGGATCATATATTCAATGTTTCTTGGCAAAGTTTTGCTGGCTGCAGCTGATACAGCCAATTGCAGAGAGTGACATATACAAGGAACATGAATTAAAGTTGGTATATCTTCTTTTAATTTTTTATACACCCCATTGTTAATTCCAACCATTACTGAAGCGTTGTCGGTGCCTATACCTATTAATTTTTGAAGGTCCTTTATTTTTTAAAGTGGTTTTTATACCAATTGTGATAGCTTCAGCATCACAAGCTTCCATTTCCACTAAAGCCAGATATGTAGAAGTTACTTGTCCCAGTTCCTTATTAAAATACATGATGGTAATTCCTAAATATTTTGTCACACTTATATCTCTGGACTCATCTACTAAAATGCTATATGGCTGATTACCTATGGTTGTATGCAGACTTGTTTCAAAATGTGGAGAAAATATATTGGTTATTATGTTAGTACATTTTGTTCTATGTAACTTTATATTTTTTGCAGCTTCACAATCATTAAATTTGGATTTGCACAAAACTCCTAAGTGATCACATGTAAGGATGGAACAATGAACTGCTATAAACAATGCTAACGTACCTTCTGCATCACTCGTTTTTAAGGAAGGAGGTTTTGTGTAATTTGCCATTGACCTTGAAGTTGCGAATCCATTTGAAGCCTCAATATGCTTTTTGGTTTTCGTGTGTTGGAGAAGATCATACCGTTTAGCAACTACTTCAGTTTTGCAAAACCTACATCGAGCTTAATTTCGATCTAGTTCGATCTTCACCAACCAATCTTTGAAAAGTGCATCAGTGAGCCATTCTTCCCTGAACTTTTGGGTGTATTGTGTCTTACCCATACTCTTAAACACTTTGCACTTCAATAATACAAAATATTTTATATATTTTATACTATTACTTACCCACTGTGAATAAAAATCTGTTCTCCTACAGATAAATAAAATGTACCTTTCATATATAAATATCACTGGCAATTCCAATACAATATTAATAATACATAAAGGTACTATATTATTATAGATAATTTAAGATTGTATTTATCTGTAAATATTCAAATACTTCAAAAAAAACAAATAAAGTTTTTCGTACTATACAGTCAATCATTTGGAACCTATGGTTATTTACAATAAATAATAATTATAATATTATTTAAATTAATGCGGGAAATGTTGGCAGGTATATTATCAATTATCATATTATGTATAGAACCTTATATCTTAATTCATAAACCGTGATTTACCAATTATAAAATGCTAATAAAATTCATTATCAGATATTCAGGTTATAAACATATGTATCATATAAAATAGATAAACTAGTATGTCTTATCTATGGTTATAGGGTGACGAAGTTTATGATAAATGATAACAATTTATCAATATTAAATATATTTATTATAATATAAAATTATATCATTTTAATGAACAATAGCTAGAAAAAGCCAATTTTCAATGAAAAATAAGCTAGAATATAGGCTATTTGCTAAATGCTATAATTTGTAGCTAGACGGGTTTATAAATAAGCTAGATCTAGCCATAAAATGGCTAAAACGGCAACACTGGGTCTATATGGTGTTGTGTTGAACTTGGAAATTTTTAATAGCTTACATACTTCTGAAAAAATTTTACTTAGAAACTCTGTGCCTTGGTCCGATACTATTGATTCTGGAATTCCATGTATACAAACAAATGAGTTCACAAAACTATGCGCTACAGTTTTCGCTTCATGGCATACCATAGGCGTTGCAATGCTAAATTTTGTTAAATCATCTTGCATTGTAAGTACAGATTTATTCCCTTTGTGTGTAATAGGAAGTGGTCCTACTATGTCCATTGTCCAGTCTTGTAAAAAATACTTTTGAAAAAGTATTAAAATACTAATACTAGTATTCGGATAAAAAAGTATTAAAAATACTTTTAAAATACTTACATAAAAATGTATTTTACGAATACTCACAAAGTATTTGAATACAAATACAAGTATTTTTTAAATTTTACACCTTATAGTAGCTGTTTCCAAACATGTTTATTAATAAATATGAAATAACTTACAAATTAGGTTAACAATGTAGCACATACTGCTCATATTAGGTATTATCAATATATAATATAATATCATAATATAATATTATACCTAATATAGTAATATATACTTATAATTTATCAATATAATAATATATAATTTAGCATCATTATATATTTATGGTTAATATAATTTAACATTCGTATAAATCAAATATTATACATTTATACAAATATGAATATAAATTAAATTTCTATTCAGAAAAAAAAACTAACTGTAATAATGAAATAATATTTATGTTTTTATTAAAATTTGTTTCACAATATTCAATAAAAATTTTATTTAAAAAAAAAAATTAAAATCTGTTATTATTTAGAATTTAGATAATTTTAGAATTACTTTTCAATAACATGGTTTTTTCAAAATTAGAATCGCTCATCTTCCCTCTTTTTTTTGTTAAAATACAGGCTCCTATACTAAATACCCTTTCAATAGGTGCACTTGAGGGGAGGGGAGTATTATACTTTACAAAAACCTTTTTTAAAATTGGAGTATAATTTAATACGTTGATTTTTTTAGTTTGACTCTTGTTGAGAAAGTCAGCAATTTCATTTTCAACTAATACAATTTATTTATAATTAGTTTATAGTATTTAAATACAAGTATTTACATTTTGTTAAAAATACTTTTAAAAAGTATTCAGAATACTTAAAAAATACTTTAAAAAAATTGTATTTAGAATACCAAAAAATACTTCAAAAAGTATTTTAATACAAGTATTCAAATACTTGTATTCGAATACTTTACAAGACTGACTATGTCCATAAATATTTTTTGAAATGGTTTATCTGCTGTGGAAGTGATAACCATCGGTTGCTTTGTATGCTTGTTTGAAGTTTTATTCTTTTGACATGATTGACACTTCTGTACATAATCTGCTACTGCTTTTGACATTCCTGGCCAATTATACAGTTTTTTAATTTTTTTTATACTACTCGAAATCCCTCTGTGTCCTGCCAAAGGATTCTCGTGCATTTCTTTTTTTATAATTTTCTTTTCCTGATCCGTAAGTTCATTTGGTGTAAATATTTTAATTTTTATACTAGTGCCTTTATACAAATATCTTAACATTATTCTTACTGTTGCCCAGTCGAGCTGAAAAATTTGATCACCTGTTTTTGATACTGCTAAATCTGTAATTTGATTGTTTAAACAAAATGTTTTTAAATTCTGTAGACAATTATACACATTTTCGTAAGTAATTTGACTTTTCACTTTCTCTGATAAAATCATATATATTATGTAACGACCACCTTCTTTGAAATACAATATATCTGTAATTATTTTATTCTGATTACTTTCCAGATTCCCGAATCGTCGTCGGAATTCCAGTGCCAATCCTTCTTTTAATGTCAATTCCTGTGATACATAATGTACGAGATGTGAATGTTCGTCTTCAAAAATATTACCAGCTACTTCTACAATATTTACGTTTT